TGCAGCCCGCTCAGCCCATGAAGGAACCCGTGTAGTCCCGATTCCTCTATCAAGGAATGATGCAGCAAGACAACTTTACCTGCTGGCTCGAGATCCCACACGCACGTTCTGGTCGTCTACCAGCTTCCAAAGGTGTCAATTTTATGAACTGGATCCTTCGCTCAAGCTAAAGCTACCATCACAACTTTCCCGCTCCGATGCGACACTGTTATGCCGCCTTTGGTTGGGTGTTGCATTTAAAAAGGCGTACTCCTTTCGCATTGGTATGGCAGACACTCCTACATGCGACTACTGCGGAGCTGAAGAGACCATCGAACACGTCCTGTGCAGCTGCGCTTGCTACGACACACAGCGATGCCAGCTCCGGATGGTTTTGAATCAACTTGACTCCGGACCATTTTGTGTGCAGAAGATACTAGGACCTTGGTCACTGCTACTTTACCTGAAGACAACAAACCTGAGCGACCGCCTGTAGACTGTGTGTGCTCCCCGAGTGTGCTCGTGATTGTGTGTACCTTCTCATCTCTCTGCAACCTCTTTTCTCCCCTTTATGCCTTCCCCAGTGCAGGGTAGCAAACCGGATGTGCGTCTGGTTAATCTCCCTGCCTTTCCTTGCATCTTTCTCTCTCTCTCTCTCTCTCTCTCTCTCTCGTTAGCACTAGTGAGATGGCGTGAAGGTTGCGAAGGCCGCGCTTTAAAAGAGGCCCCAGAACGCGTAGAATAAGCTCGTGCATTTCTCCTGCGCCTGACCAACCTTCTTCCACACGCAGTGACGTCAACTCGGTGATCAGCGACATTCACGAAATTACTCTTTATTGATACCTGGTTTAGACCAATCGACGAGCTGCGTGCGACGTCACGTCGCCGATCGCCGATTTGACGTCACTGTGCGTTGAATCAGGTTGGTCAGGTGCAGTAGAAATGCACGAGCTTAGCCTGCGCGTTTCGGAGCCTGTTGACTGGCCCTTTAAAAGTCGTCACCCCGCAATTTGCGATGCGTGCACGCCTCTGTACATGGTGTGGTTGCTCGTGCATGCGCGATTGTAGGATGACGGGGCAGTTTGCACGTCTTTTGCTTTCACCGTGAATTTGCGTAGATGAGGAGGAGCAGAAATATAAATACGGAAAGACAAGAAAGCTACCCAGTACTCAGACGAACTGGCTACCCTTTAATATTCATAGAAAGTGCGACACAGGTAAAGCCCCCTTTTAGGCACAGGTCACGTCGCTCGCTGCCGCTAGCTGCAGTTGCCTCGTCTGTGAAAGAAGCGCGCTGCACAAACACAAATAACTGTGGCAGCCAGTCCGCACTCATCCATGTTCTTATATTTATGTGCACACTGAAAAAGCCCAGGTGGTCAGAATTTCTGGAGCCTTTCATTACGGCGTCTCTCATAATTATATGGTGGCGTCAGTATGTTAAACTCCAGATATTATTGTTAGTTCGCGCTCGTCTTGTGTATAATTGTATACATTCGTTTCGTGTCGCCTCTGTGTTCGAGAAGCGTGCCTTAGGTGTCGAGCTGCGAGAGTTGTTTTTCCATGCTCATGTGTTCTTCTCGCGCGTCCCTTCTGCTTGAAGAGCACGTCGCATGGTTCGAGCTGCTTGCACTTTCTCGGGTGGCATTGCAGTTTGTTGTGTGGCAAAATAATGCACAATAAACACTCAGCTGCCTCTGTGAAGACACGTTTCACGTGCATGTTACTCGATTCCAATGAATGATAGATCAGGCATGTTTTTTTTTTCATCATGATTCCTACGGCCCCATCTCTATGCCTGAGAACTTACAAGTATCTACAGTATCAAAAGGTACATGCACCGAAGCTTTTTTGAGCACAAGTTTAGGGACTGTTATTGCGAAGCAGCCTACGAGGCGGAACATGTGGCGCAGTGCAATGCGAAGGCGACGAATTTTATTACGTAACAACTTTCGCTGGATCTGCAAACAACAGCAGTAGGCAGGGACTCGCATGAGCTGGCAGCGTAGTAAAGAAACTAAGAGGTCATTGCAGCAAATAACTGCAAAACGGGGTAAAATCAATGTGGAGGGACCGCAATGAAAAGCTTTATTGCGACACATTCTTGGGCAATTTTAGTGAAAAAATTATAACACAGAGAGTGTTCCACTTTCCCGACAAGAACAGATACGGCTCCCGAGAAAATTAATAACCATGAGAGAGGCAAAGTTAAATTTGGGAGTGAATCAACCTAATTTTTTTTTCGCTTACTAGAGGCGGGAAACAAATGGGCCATGATTAGGCGGCCAGAGGCTCAGTGAGCGCCAACGGGACGTGGAACGCGTACGCGCTGCTCAAGCTGCGAGCCAGGGCCTCCTGTGTTGATGAAGCGCAGTATGGTAGTCAATGCATAAACACAGTCGTAACCCGTAAGTTACTTTGTCGTTCGAGCGCACACTCTGCCGTTTCTCTCCTAAATTGACGATGCTTTGAAAACGTATAGGCACCGCACACTGCCTAGATGGAGCTGCGTTGCTCACATTGCGCCGCCCCAGAGTATTTTCGCCATTAGGGGACACAGAAAATGGACGCGTGCTCGCGTCCTCCATGTATGCCGGGCACAATCCGCCGACAGATGCAGGGCGCGAAACGCGCTCGTAGCGTTCCATTTTCATTGAGGCTGCCCCAAGGTTGCTTTTTTTTATCCGCTAGGCATTGTATTCTGGCGCTTCAGTCAGACTGGAAAACTCGACTGAATGGTGCCTATACTGCATATTAAGTATCAGTGCAGATGTTTTCTATGTGCTTCTGATGCTATATTAACAACTTCAGCTACCGCAATGTTTATATCATAATCATGAAGCTAGTCATCGCGATGGGTATGTGCCACTTGGGGTCAAAGCGGAAGCCTCCACGCCAAAGAACGCTGTAGTTACCAAGTTATTATATTATACAAACTGTTATGTTGTTCACTGCACAATATAAGCCCTACTTCTGCGAAGACAGTTTTCACTTTCGTTTTATACCGATTCATACGAAAGATGAATAGGACATATATATATATATATATATATATATATATATATATATATATATATATATATATATATATATATATATATATATATATATATATATATATCCTCCTAACTTCCGGGTTGGATTTTGGTCCACGGAATTTCCTGAAACTTTCACAACTGGGTGTGTAGGTGACGAAGATAAAAAGTGAAGCTTATTATTTCCGTTATGCCTGTGCTTTAGGTATGGCGTGATGTCCAACTAATTGGACGCTGAAACTTAATTAAAGCGTTAAGTAGTGGGCCTGAAGCAACACAAAGCAAGGTTACTGAAGAAAAGTGTGACAAATTCCGTAATAACTGCAAGTTTTTATTCAAAATTTAACAAATAATAAAAAACCAACAGAAAGTGGACCTTAACTTTCGCCGTTTAACTTCTAGAAGATTGCTCTGTTCAACGCCACCATGTTTTCTTCTTTGTTTCGCGATCTTCTGGCGCAATTTCGACAAAACTTCATGGAGGGCGCCAGTAGATGTCCAAAATATTGGACAAGTGGTTTTTGAGGAAGAAAACATGCTGAGATCTTTGTAGTGATGGGGTATTTCATGTCCAATATTTTGGACAAATCGCCATAGCTGGAACTCAGGAGGATATATACATATTGCTCAATGACTTACCTTTAAATAAGTGTTTTCTATGCTGAAGTGCCATTGTATCAAGTTTAGAAAATACAATATGAAGCAGTAAGATGGACCACAAGAGAGAACGCACACACACAGGGCTAATATTTTATTGCTCGGAACGCAGTGCATTTTATGGCGCGTGATAGATGCACACACTCGCATATAAATATGATAGATGAAAATTAAAGGTGATTACAATAAATACCGATAGGACAATAACACCGGTCAAGATGGTTACCGAGTAAGACAAACACGGAAAAGTGGCAGCACAATTTGAAACCTTAAACTAGTGAAGCACTCTCACGGTATACCAAGTGAATGTCACAAAAATATTACCCGTAGATACTAATACATGAATTGTTATAACTGATAAGCAAAAATAAATAAAAGGCCGAAGATGAGTAAAGGCGAAACATGTGGTGAACGAAAAGCTAGTGCGAACTCATGGCAACTCATAAATGAAGGAGACAGAGAAGTAGTGTACCAAGTATTCACAACATTTCTTCCCCTGAACTCGCCTTTATTCTAAAACGACGATACGTATTCCATCGTCTCAATAAGATTTACCAGCTTCCCAATGGGAAACGTGTGAATGAGTATGGTACGGCAAGCAAGAGTGTCAGTCATGCATTGCCCTAAATTCTGAGAGCATGGCCGACATATATGAGGATAATCTGTTTTGAAAAATTCATAGCGCTGGCTTTTGTACCTAATCAATACATAATACGTAATCGATTTCTGGTGGAATGCTTCAGAGCCATGTGACATGTCCACCTGGATTTGATCCCGCTTCAAAACGCGGCTCCTTGCGAAGCTTTACACGACTGATTGGTCCGAATTTCTCGCGTCTACCGAGAGGAAACATGCAGGACGTCCAACGGAGCACTGGAAAAATGATAGGTGTAAAACATTCAGGCGGTATTATTCAAGCCGTAGGACACCGTGCAGAAGCTGCCATGTTCACTCTGTGCCGGCACACGCCAATGATCATTACTAAATACAGCGAGAAGGGTTAGGACGGAAAAGTCAGCGCACGTTAGTGAGCACGTATTCTAAGATGAGATTTTTCTCGGGGAGACAATGGCAGGTGAAAGCTTTTTGCGGGCGTGTTAGCGATTGGCCGCCCTGAGACACAACCCTTGCGATGTCAGTAGTATAGAGAGTGGTACATAAATATACTGGTCAGGTTTAGTCTATCTCTCTGCTGGTCTCCCCGAAGCTTCCGTCGTCTTACGTGGTTGCAAGATGGGGGTAAATATAATATGTCCACGCCATGACCGGAAGAGTTTTGGTCAACAACTTGGCGAATTTTTTCGACACTGCCTCCCGACGCTGTTTGACTTAACCTTCTTCGCCAAAGTCATCGAGGAACTTCTTCAACTTTCGAAGGTCGTCCTTGCGGACAGTCGGCTTGGCAGTTGAAAGAGACAATAACATGTCGCTCATGGTTACCGTCGGCTCGAGAAGCTTTTCTCCCGGCACGTCCATCCAAGACATTTCGATGGCGCCGGGGCTACCGGGAGTGCAGGGTGTCAAAAGGTCGTCCACAATGACGTTGGGGTCACCGCGAGAGGGCCCTCGTACCCTCCTGAAGTGGGTCGCTGTCTGTACTTTGCGCACAGGTTGCATGAGGGCATCGCGCACGAGCACTGAGATGTCGGCTCCGCTGAAACCACCGCTGCGCTTGGCCAGCTGCTTGAAGTCGTCTTGTGACAAAGTATGAGGCGTATTACCAATGTGCAGCTGCACAAAAGGAAGATCATAATGACATAAAAAGAAACGCTATATGCGAAACTTCACTCAATCTCTCTTGGAGCAAACATATCGAAACTATTCGAGACGTTTTTTTTTTCAAAAAGAGCCAACCGCAGAAACAGAAAGAAGACTACATGTCATTGGGACCGTAAATTATGCATATGTATCTTTAACTTCTGAAAGAGTTATAAGCAAAAATGGAGCAATGACTTATTGTAACATAAACTCAAAATGCACTTTCTAATTCAAAATTGAGCGAGATACTCCAACTGTTTCAATGAATGAGCCGCAGTCATTAAACCAGAAATTCGTCAACAATGGTGACCAAAACAACCAGTAATATCTCAACCAAAACGTTTCATTTGTGTCCTTGTTGTTTTTGTTATTGCAATTACGTTCCACAATTAGTTCTTCTAACGGCGAAATGGCACTTACTGAAGGACATGATGTTCAATGACAAAATTTGATCTTAAAAAGTAAGAGGGTGACTTTCGTACTTCTTTTGGTTTCTTTGTGTTCCTTTACAAGTTTAGCGCTACAGTAAATATTAGTTCGTTCATTCAATCTTATACGGTATATTTAAAATAAAATACATTGGAAATGAAAGTATCAGGCGCTGATTTATTGCCTTGAGAAGTGTTGGTCCGAAACAGCACAGCATAATACAAACCGGGCACCTTTAAAGACCTTCAATAGGTGACATAAACAATAAAACGCCGCTGACAGACCATAATACTGCGCCTTTGCCAGGAAGGACCCTCGCCCTTCACGCCAATACCACTAAGCACGGCACCGATGAAAGCAAAACGCTGACGGTAATTGCATCACAAAATCTTTCTGTAGCGTACATTTGAATTCTTTTGGACTAACTTTACGAGCTAATTTCTATCGACACTCTTTCTTTTCACTTATTCTTCGCCGGTGGTTTGCCTCGTTTGATTTTCTTGTAATTCAAGCCCCAATGAAATATTCCAACATATATGAGCCAAATAGAAACTTTACTTCCCAATACCGACGATATTGTCACGGGGTCATGAGGTGGCCGAAGACAGGAAACTTCGTGTTGGGATTTAACTGTTTATTTTGGGCGAACCTGTGCCCGGTAAAGGGAAAGTCGAATTACAGCAGCAGTCTTGCACAGATAGCAGTCTCGGACTGATAGCGGTGAACGCAGCGTCGGCCTTCGATCAACAACTGACAAGCGGCGAAGCGTGTCGGCATTTATACCCTTGCCGTCGAATGTTCTAGCGTTATCGCTGGCGGTGGCGTAGGTTCCAGAACAATCTGTACCGTTCGCACAGTGGGCGTGATCTTATCGAAATGATCTACTACAGTCCGGAACCTTCTCGAAACCTGCAGGCGTGGTTTGCGCCCGGAAATCGTGTGGTGTTTCAGAACGATAACAAAAACTTGGGAAATGGAACGTGGCATTGCCCCCCCTCTGAAAAAAAAGTCATCGTCCCGATGCTTTAACTAAAGATGAAGGTACAATAATAATGCAAGAAAGTACAATGAATAAATTACAACTACAACAATAATACAAAAACACTGTTTCAGTTTGTTAACGTGCATGAAACGGCTTGAGGCGCGTGACATGGACGACTTTCAGGTCGCGATCGGCGTCGTTGAGAGTTCGTGATGCCGTCGGGGACAACCTCGTAATCAAGTGGGCCGAGACGTCGAACCACCTTGTACGGTCCGAAGTACCGTCGCAGAAGCTTTTCACTTAGTCCACGTCGGCGTATCCGGTGTCCACACCCAAACACGTTCACCGGGCTGGTATTCCACGAAGCGTCGTCGAAGGTTGTAACGGTGGCTGTCGGTCGTCTGTTGATTCTTGATACGGAGACGCGAGGGCCGAATGATCCCGAATGTTTGGGAGAAGACCGAAGATAGAGCCCTCGCCAACACAGCGGCCGCGAGATACAGTGGAGGGGCATCCCGTGACGGATCTCACTAGAGCCCAAGGTGAAACCGCGGCGCAAGAGACAGCGAAGGAGAAGACGATCGTGTCGAATAAGTTCACGGGCCGAGCAACCGGACTTACGTCGGCACGACCTCAACCGACCGACAGTGTAAAGGAGACGGAGTTGGCCAGCCGGGCAAAATGTAGAGGCATGATCAAGCGGGTAAATAAACAGACAGGACCCGTCGAATGGAATGACGCGTTAACGGTGTCGGAAAAGACAACGATGGCTGAGACGACGCCTCAGATATCGTCGTTGGAAAGGGCTCGCCGAAAAAGAACGTGGAAACACAAGAAGAGATCGAGCGAGCACCGCAAAAAGGGGCGCAAGCGCTACTCAAAGTACTCAGGATAAGTGCTGAGGTCGAATCTGAATGTGTTGGGCAGTGTTGAGTGCCATATGTTGTGTTAACGTTTGTGTTATCCTGTGTCCAAGTGTCAAAGTGTTGTGCTGTGATGTTAGTATAGTATTGGACCAGTGTTGTAATGAGAGAACTGTTGTACATTTGTATTATTGGGAATGTTTGGTGCCGTGTTGTACTCATGTGCTTGTGGTTGTGTTTTCGCGTGTGGTGTAATTGAACTACAATGTAAGATTGTATTTCGGTATATATTGTGAATGTGGACGTGTCACGAGCGACGGATTGTGTTTACAGTCTGTGAGAGTGGTGGGGTGACTGTTCGCGCTCGTTTGTGTGGTTTGAATATTATGAGATAATATTCTTAAAGTGGGGGGGCAGTGGCACAGAACGAGCGCTAAAAAAGAGCGCGCCGCCAAATCCTTGCGACAACGGGCGGCAGAAACGCCGCGAGGTAAAAAGGAAAAAAAAAAGAAAGCAAACATCCAAGGCTCCCGGGCGCGCGCTCCTCCCCGCAGAAGCATGGCTTCACAGACGAACCTCCTCACCCCACATCGGCGGCCCAGCAAGGCCGCGACTTTCTAGAAGCAAGGAGGCGGGGTCAGACCGAGTGAATCATCCTCCGGAAGGGCAGTCGAACCGTCTCGTGCCTCTCCCCAGCCTTCGCTGCGTATCGCGCCGACGAAATGACGAGAAATTTCTGGAAGGTGGCGGGGAACTGTATTTAATCGAGCAGCCGAGACGAGACAGGACAGGAGAAGACGGAAGTTAGCGCCGAGCGCGTAGGATTCCGCCGTGGAGTCGGCGAAGGTGCTGTCCGGAGTGACAGAGCAGGAGAGAAGAGGAGTTCCAACCTGTGGTGAAGGCTCGAGCTACAGGCAAGAGCGTTGTTTACCGCTATCTGAGCGAGGACGCGTGGCAACAGCTGCGGGTGTGAAGCCGACGTATTCCGGCGAAGAAGTTTGAAGCTTGGAGAGTGGCCTATTGTAGACGGGAGTTTTCCTGGAAGAGAAACTCCGGCGAGGTTTCCTGGAAGAGAAACTTCGAGGGCCGCGGAACGACAACAACGCTGGACTCTGAGTGAGTGATTCTCGGAAGAGTATCATCTCGACTTTGGTTCCAAGAACTTTGGACTGAATAGGTTTTATATCTCTTTAGTCTTTAAGTGTCTTGGTTGTTCAATGCATGCGACTGCATTGTAGTGCGTATTGTTGTCCGTGTCCGTTGTTTCAAGTGTGGCTGATTGTATTGTGTAGTACGTTGATTGATTGGTTTGATTGGTGACATATTGTATGCAACTATTGTGGAGTGTGCATTTTTGTGTATTATTTCGCTCTGCCAATATTGAGAATATAATTTGTTTGTTTATCAACTCTCGGCTCTGACTTGTTCTTTGGGCCACAGCCGGCGTCCGCTGGTGCGCCAAAAAAGGACCACTTCAAATTGTCCACGCTTTCGTGGTTGCGGTTCGGGGGGCCGATACTTCGGCTCTTGGAATTAGCCCGGCGATCGCCTCCCTAAAGCAAGGTTACTGAAGAAAAGTGTGACAAATTCCGTAATAACTGCAAGTTTTTATTCAAATTTAACAAATAATAAAAAACCAACAGAAAAGTGGACCTTAACTTTCGCCGTTTAACTTCTAGAAGATTGCTCTGTTCAACGCCACCATGTTTTCTTCTTTGTTTCGCGATCTTCTGGCGCAATTTCGACAAAACTTCATGGAGGGCGCCAGTAGATGTCCAAAATATTGGACAAGTGGTTTTTGAGGAAGAAAACATGCTGAGATCTTTGTAGTGATGGGGTATTTCATGTCCAATATTTTGGACAAATCGCCATAGCTGGAACTCAGGAGGATATATACATATTGCTCAATGACTTACCTTTAAATAAGTGTTTTCTATGCTGAAGTGCCATTGTATCAAGTTTAGAAAATACAATATGAAGCAGTAAGATGGACCACAAGAGAGAACGCACACACACAGGGCTGATCCAAATATTTTATTGCTCGGAACGCAGTGCATTTTATGGCGCGTGATAGATGCACACACTCGCATATAAATATGATAGATGAAAATTAAAGGTGATTACAATAAATACCGATAGGACAATAACACCGGTCAAGATGGTTACCGAGTAAGACAAACACGGAAAAGTGGCAGCACATTTTGAAACCTTTAACTAGTGAAGCACCCTCACGGTAGTGAATGTCACAAAAATATTACCCGTAGATATTAATACATGAATTGTTATAACTGATAAGCAAAATAAATAAAAGGCCGATAATAAGTAAAGGCGAAACATCTGGTGAACGAAAAGCTAGTGCGAACTCATGGCAACTCGTAAGTGAAGGAGACACAGAAGCAGTGCACCAAATAATGACCACATTGCTTCCCCTGAACTTGCCTTTATTCTAAAACGACGATACGTATTCCATCGTCTCAATAAGATTTACCCGCTTCCCAATTGGAAACGTGCGAATGAGTATGGTACGGCAAGCAAGAGTGTTAGTCATGCATTGCCCTAAATTCTGAGAACATGGCCGACATATATGAATATGATCCGTTTCGAAAAATTCATAGCGCTGGCTTTTGTGCCTAATCAATACATAATACGTAATTGATTTGTGGTGGAATGCTTCAGAGCCATGTGAAATGTGCACCTGG